GACAGACGCTCCATCAGCAGGGAGGTGAAACCAGAACCGGTTCCTCCACCYAAGCTGTGGAAGACCAGGAAGCCCTGAAGACCGGTGCACTGGTCRGCCTGAGGACACAAGGGACAGGTGTTGAAGGAAACCTAGATCCAGACTATGTTACGCTGAATCAGCATTTTCAACTCACAGGTTCTCTGCAGACTCAAATGAAGCATAAACACTGACTGGCTCCTTGTATTTGCTGTTCTTCAAAAAGGCTGGTTCTTCTCTCACTTTTGACTTTAACTACATTCATATTAATTAATGAAACCAAACCAACCATTTTTAAATGAAGCCACACTGTATCATTAAAATCAAACATTTAGTTATCCCTATTTCTAAATGTCTCAAAAAATAAAAACCACTACAGACTGATGTCGCTCTTATTTTGAAAGGCAACCTGGAGCTCTTTAAGAGAAGTGGAAATAATGAATGAAGACTTCGGGTCGACACCGTCTGCGTCTTCATATAAACATATACCAGCAGCTAACCTGCCGGCTGTTATTATTTAATTACCATGCTAACAACAACAAGTTTGTAAAACTAAAATGTGTTGAAAATAAATATGAAAGTCTGATGCTAGGGTAGAAAGTAAGCTAATAATATAAAGAAACGCCGAAGCACTGATCATCAGAAAATAAAAGCGACATCAGTCTGTAGGGTTTATTTTTTGGAGACATAGGGAGAACTAAATGTTTGATTTTAGTGATACATTGTGGTTTCATTTAAAAAAAAAAAGGCAGTTTTTTTCTGCTAAAATTAATGTGAAAGTAGTTAGTCAAAAGTGAAAGAAAAATGAAACAGAAGAACCAAACTTTACAACGAGCCAATCAGTGTTTATGCTTCAGACACGCTTCCTTTGAGACTGCAGAGAACACCTTCTCCCTAATTGCTGCAGCGTGCGGGCAAGACAAAACATTATCTACATCAATTTACAAACCAGTTTGCGAATCCGGTCCAGAACAGGGTCGATGATCTCCTTTCCGATGGTGTAGTGACCCCGGGCGTAGTTGTTTGCAGCGTCTTCCTTACCGGTGATCAGCTGCTCCGGGTGGAACAGCTGGCGGTAGGTTCCAGTGCGCACCTCATCTACAGGAAAACACAACAGGAATTAAACACACAGGCAGCATTTAGCAGAAATAAGGCCAACCAGATGAGGGGTACCGATGACGGTGGGCTCCAAGTCCACAAAGATGGCTC